TATATATATATGATTTTAATTGATTTGTAATAAGAGGATTTTTTAATTAATCAAAGGAATAGGAACAGGATTAAAGGTAAGAGAACCTTCTATATATTTCATATTGGATGTCTTCTAGAAGCTCATTAAGAAACTTAAGACGATGGATTGTTTGAATCTTCTTTTATAGGTACACATTGAAGTATTGATTCTGTAAACAATGCGTGTCTGTGTATACATATGTGGGACTTAATAAATATAACATATGTACACTAACTATACATTATTTACATTTATATTACTTATCCTATTATTTATATGTATTATTTGTAAGCATATTTTATCTCATTATTATATCATACAATTATTTTATTCATAAGATATTTGCATGTATTCTCGAAGTAATCTATATATTACAGATAATTCATCATCAATGAATAACAGATATAAGCTGTCACATATAAATCGTTCTGTTATCACAGTTATTATACACATAAATATCTACATATTACGTATTTGCATACGTACATAAGAAATTTATATATGTCATCAAATGTATATTAACATAATTCTATCTTACTAGTTCTACTAACAAGTTCTACTGACGGTCTTGTTAATAAAAAGAATAAATCACATGTTAGATTGGAATAAGTTCTAGGCAGACGGTAGAAAGTTGCTCTTCAAGATCAGGTTTATTACACTGAAATCTTATGAGAAAGCCGATGATAAATAAATTTACCTGTGGACGGTGGTCGTGGGGATTGTGGCGTGCCTACGTCAGAGTGCCTGTAATGCTCGGCATCCTCGCACATCTCATCGGCGAGGAATATCTCACGATCGTCCAAGCACGCGTCGCCGTCGTCGCTGGCAAAAATTTAACAATGAAAATTTCATTGATTTTCAATGAACGTCGATGAGTGAAAATGTGCTCCGAAATAAAAAAAAACAGGACATAGATACCTTTCGGAGCTCGCCGAGCTCGGTGGCTCAAATGGGGGCTGCATTTTAGCTGCCATGTTTCGTCGACTTGGCTGACCTCGGGCTCGTCACCACCACGTGCACGTTGCGAATGGTTGCAGATTATCACCTGCCTGATCTACTTGTTTTTTTTTGATTGGCCCTGGTCCCCGCACACGGGCTTGACGTGGCTGGTGGCCTAGCCTACTGCGTCGTACGTAAACTTCACGCTGCGCGCCAAACATACGTAGAGTGCACGAGGTGGTGATGTAAAGCAATGTCACATCACACTGATCACTGCCGTCGCCGTCACTGATGTTGCCGTGTCGCACGTTGCACGCGAGCGGGCTGACGACGCGGGCCGCGCGGTCAGTGTTCCCAAATCGTAAGCAACCGTGAGAAAGACCCCACCATTCGTTCGATCATCTTCGCCGTTTTCGTGCGCGTGCGTACGAACAGCCACGTGATTTTCTTGACAGTATCGTGCCTAGAGGCTAGAAGCAGCACAAGACGCGTCTTTAGAAACTACATTTTTACGTCTTTTATTATTTATTATCAAAATTACTTCAGGATTATTAGAACTTTTTATCTTAAAATAATTTAATTTTTACATGTTACTGTCTGATGCGTTTTTTTTATTTATTTAAATAATTGATTTAAAGTAAGATTTTTTTAAGCACGTGTTTAGATTTGATAACTTTGATTTTGTCAGAATACTCTGAATATCGATGAAGTTTCTTACAATTGATCCAAATTTATTTATTAAAAATGATAAGAATAAAATTTATTAGATCTTTACATTCGTCCTCATGAATCGGTTTATTAACAAAGAAAAGAAAGGGAATATTATATAAAATAATGACACAATAAATAGACGTTTTAAGCAATGTAATTAATAGAAACTTTTCTAATATTTCCTATATGTTTTCTATGTGCTTTTTGTTTGATGACACAAGTCAACAAGTATCATTCTATCTTCCTTGACATTCAATGGATATCACGACGGGAGCATAATGACAACCATTTATTGAGATAAAACGTATACGTGACTGAGAAAACTGAGCGCGTTGCTAAAATTGCGCGTGCGTGGAGGACATTTTTTAGGGACATCAGCCACGCGCAATATTGTTCCAAAAAATCGTGCTCATACGGTTTCAGCAATAGAGATTGGAGCATATATGTCTAAATTCATGCTTGACATGACTATTCAGCTCTATAAAATCAATTAGGCATTTTTATACAATATATCTACTTTATAAGTATATTTATAAACGTTAAGCTATTATTGTTGCCGGTTAGACTTAGATTTTGTATCCTAAAAAAGGGTCTTTTGAAATACATAAAATATATAAAATATTATCGTTTTCCTTGACTCTCTTGTTTCTTTTAAAGACTCCAATTAGTTATACTGCAAGACATTGATCACTTATATGTCCATTTCTCTCTTCTAGAGATTAATCTTAATCTCTTTATTTCTTTATTTTTTCTAATATCTAGAACTAAAAAAATAAAAAGTAAGTTAAATACAAATTAAAATAGTAACTTAAATTAAAATTAAAGTAGCATTATAATTAGTAGAAAATTAATAACTGCGCCTTTAATTTCTTTCTTACAAAATCTTCCTTTGTCTCTTATATCTGTAACACCACGTAGACATACAACGGCAATAAACACATCATGGATCAGAGGCAATGACGCAGAGGAGATCAGAGGGAACAGGGGACACTCTCGCCCACGCAGGCCAAGTTGGCTATCTTTGGCATGAACACATACATATGTTTGTGAAAAAGCAACGGAACCAACACGCAGGCATGCTTCGAGTGTCGCAGCTGCATACTGCAAGAAAAATATACGATATCCTTTTTGCATCTGAACTGCAAACGCATGCATCTTGGCTACTTGGTGTAGCCAAGTATTACAAACGTGGGAATCGAATCACCGACGTCATATCTACATAACATCGATATCATAGACGGTTATTGATTACAACGCGCAACGAAGAATATTTTAAAGCATCCCATCGAAATTATGAAATTGAATAAAATTTGAAATAAAATTACGTAATCTGATTAATTATACACGCGCGTTTTATGTAATGTATGTAAATATAAAAGTCTCTTTAACACAAATATATATGTATATCTAACTATAAGTATACATGGAAATTTATTATACATACATCGTTAATTTTCTATACAATAATGACTGAAATTGTATAATATTAATTTTAAAATGCAATTTTGAAAACAAATGTTCAATATTTTTTAAGTTATATTTCTTTTTTTTCTTTATGTTCTTTTTTGCAAATAAACGAGCAATATATTCGATATACATATTCATATGTTAATGAGAGATCTCGAGAGCTTTCGAACAAACGACGCTATGTAATACACATGATGATGATCATTTCATCTTTGTTTAACATTGACGAGCAACGAGAATGTATAATAATACAAGAATTCACTGTGTGTTACACTGTCTCTTATTGTTGAAAAAGCTCCTTTTGTGTGTGTATACTTGTTATAATCTCAACATAATAATTTTTTTAATGTATAATAGTAGCAGGAAGCAATATGTAATACTAGAAATTCGAGAATGAGATTTTTATTACATCGTATCGATGTGAATACATAACATAATGTATACAAGAGAAACAAGTTTATGTGAATCCAATATATCTTCATTAGAAACGAGATATCGTCATTATTTCGGTATTTCCCGGATCTCAGTTATTTCTGATATTATTATCACAGCGATTACACAATACCTACTACAAAAACCATTTTTGAAATTAATTAATATTTAAAATGTAAATAATTTCCCCAGTAAATTTAAATAAATCCCGTAAAAACATAACGAGAGATTTATTGTATTATACAGAATATGCTCTTTACGCATTCAAATTTAAACAAAAAACACATATTCTATAATAAACAGATCGTAATAAAAAAATATTAATTTTCAAATGCGTGATAATTCTTCGTGATAAATTATTTTTATATTATATCGATATAAAAATAACTTCCAAAAAATTAAGTTATAGATATATAAGTAGGTACATTCAACATCTACATAAATATCAACATATAAAAGAGAAGTAAAATATAAATACCAAAGCAAATTTAAATAAATCCAATAAAAATGATTTATTATACAGACATCAGGAATACGCTTCACGAATCGAATAAAATTTAAGCCAAAGATAAATACATCATAATAAAACAACATTATATATATTTTTATCAAATACATATTATAATAATATAGTATCTATATTTTTATTGTATGTTACCATAAAATTAACTATTCCAAAAAAGATATATACGTATAACATCCAATATTATAGAAATATAAAGATAAAATTCTGTAACGGAAAATTCCATCCCTTCCCCTTTATCGGCGATACGCACGATCAACGAAGATAAGTGACCTTTTGCGATAACGATGAGCAGGAATCCGTAGAAATTAGAATATACCGTTGCAGTTTGAGACCGCCGCCGACGTCGCGCGATGTCGTGGCGAATCGCGCACTCATTCAGCCGGTAACACTGAATCGCGTTGTTCGATCTCCCGTCTCGCGTTTGTGTTGTCGGTTAGCCGAGTGCAAAGCAGCGGACAGTAGTGAGCGTCGCAGAGAACATACAATAGAGAGAGAGAGAGAGAACGTGCCGAAAGTCACCCCCGCGTTTACCCCCGATGGCTTCTGCGTCGTGTTGACTCCGCCGTCGCGTGACGTCGCGCCGTCTTTTAATAGTCCGCCGCCTCTCCGCGACCGGTTCGCCCGTATGATACGACACGATACGTCTACATACGTATATACGTACGTCGCAGCTCGTCGGGGAGACGCGCCCTCGTTCGACCTTGAGCGGCTATAACCGGTGCGTAACGTTCGATGTACGGAGCATCGTCGCTGTTAATCGCAACAACCAGCCGACCGCGAGTCACCGCAGCACCACCGCAGGCCCGTGCTCCTTTTACTCTGTTTACTTCCTCCTGCTTGGCGCCTACTCCTCGACACGGGACTGCCTCGGTGGCGAAATGGCGAAGAAGACGTACGATCTGCTGTTCAAGCTGCTCCTCATCGGCGACTCCGGCGTCGGCAAGACCTGCATACTATTCCGTTTCTCGGACGATGCCTTCTCCACCACGTTCATTTCCACAATAGGTAAGTGAGAGAGAGAGAGAGAGAGAGAGAGAGAGAGAGAGTGGGAAGTCGAGAAAGGCCGGTAGAGGCGAATTGTGGAGATTCTTTCGTTGATGACGAATTTGGTTCGCATTCTTTTCCCAGCGATTAGGTTAGAACGTGGCGCTTCGATTGGAAATTACGGCCGTCACGTTCCGTAAAATTCAATCCAATCGAGTTAATTGCCGCTTCGTTCTGTGTGTGTGTGTGTGTGTGTGTGTGTGTGAGGACCACACACGTGCGTGTACATGCGTATGTATGCACACGTACATACACGCATGGCGATCAGAGTACTTACTAGCATGTTTTTTTTTGAAAAAAAAAAAAAAAGAATTGTACTTTGCTTCGGCGAGATTTTAGCAAAGTCATACCATTCATTTGTGAGCATAAATACATATTGCACAAGTTACAAAAGAGATGCATATAATTTTATAAGTAATATACAAATTATCTTGTTTTATATTATTAATAAAAATAAAAAGTAAACATTAAGAAGGATACCTTCCATAATTGATTTTTATTTTTGTAATTAGAGTGTACAAAATATATATTATACCTAGAATATCTCGAAATTGTAATTTGTATTTTATTCTTCTTGTCGACTGGAACATAAGTGTTTTTTTTTATAGGTATCGATTTTAAAATCAAGACAGTAGAATTAAGAGGAAAGAAAATCAAATTACAGATATGGTAAGTTGCTGCATATATATATTTAGAATTTTCTATAAATTTATATGTTATTCTATCTATAGGGACACAGCTGGACAGGAAAGATTTCACACTATTACGACGTCATATTATAGAGGAGCTATGGGAATTATGCTTGTTTATGATATTACTAATGAAAAGACATTTGAAAATATTGTCAAATGGTTGAGGAATATTGATGAAGTAAGTAGAATCTCCTGGATTTACTCCATTCACAATTTACAAATTTATATTTGAATTTTTTACATTAAACATACAATGATTGTCATAAATATTTCCTACAGCATGCAAATGAAGATGTGGAGAAAATGATATTAGGAAATAAGAGCGATATGGAAGAAAAACGCGTTGTCAGTACAGAGAAAGGAGAAGCGGTAAATATTCTGTAGACAAGTTTTTTTTTGCTATATTAGCAATGTGATAAAATCTTTTACCAAAAACACGATGGTTTTCACAGATATAGTATTATAAACCAAACATACAATATAATATATATCAAGGAACGGTAACTTCCATGAGAGAAACAAATACTTGGGTCTCTCTTCTTTGTCTGATAAAAGTGTTCTGTCTGTTTTAAAGCAAGCAGAACAAAAGTTGTTTTGTCTGTTAGAGAAAGAAGAAAAACCTGAGTTTTATCATCTCTCTTTCTCGCACGTGAAGGCCAGCAAGCCTATTCTGTAATTTCACAAGTTTTGTTATTGTTGTAATGTCGCTGTACGCAGCAGCATTTTTATCATAATATAAGAGTCGTGCAGCAGCGTTATAACGATAACGAAATTTGCGTTAAGAGTTACAGAATATGCATGCTGGTCTCGCATACCATAATCGATCTATCTCTGTACTATAATTTCTTTGACTAATATTTTTATTTCGTTTACAGATAGCGAGAGAACACGGCATTAGATTTATGGAGACGTCCGCGAAAGCGAACATCAATATCGATCGAGCATTTAGCGAACTAGCAGAAGCAATACTGGATAAAACTCACGGCAAGGAACCACAAGACGCGCCGGATAGAGTAACGGTTGATCGAAGGGTAGAAAGAAATTCGAATCGATGCTGCTAATCTTATATATTATTTATTTTAACGGCGCATAACGAACTATATATCAGCTCGTGCCACCTGGGATAGATCCCTCGATATAGAACTAGAGCATAATTTAAAGCATAACATAAACACTTCACGACACTGCCTGATCTGATATAATCCAATCTCACTTTTGATCTGACGAAAAAACGTTTTTCTATACTGCGATCGAAAATTACTAATAAAGATGATTTGACTGATCCAGTATTTAAAAAAAAAATTATGTTTTTTTTAATTAAATTTATATAAATGTTAATAACTTAATAAAAATACGCGGTCTTATGCATATACGATTGTACCTACAACTCCATGTGTGGTATATAAACAAAGTTTCATTAGTTTATACGGATATAGTAAAAAAAATTAAACATATAGGTTTCTCTAATAAACCTTTATGTTTCACGTAAAGCATTACATCAATGCACGAAAAAAATTAGGACATATTGTTTATACATATTGTTTATTACGAGGCTGCAATTTGTTACCATGTTGAGTGGTGTGAGTATGAGTGTCGGCTTCTCTAATCTTGATAATTTTTGTAAACATTGGATGCTTTCCTGCGTGAATAATCGCACCACAATGCTTACTTGTGTACATTAAGTTAGGAAGAAACTTAAACCAAAAGCTTCTATCGTTTTGTGTACGGCCGATTTACTATAAATATAAATATTCGCAATTTCGAATTTGTCGTTTTCATTTCTTGGGCAAACACGCGCAGGTGTACACACAACATACACACATGTATACATACATCTTGCATGGAATGAGTTTGCATATTTATAGATGCAAAATTACTGTTAAACAGATATTGATAACAATTATATATAGACATTTTAATGCAAGTATTAAAGATAAAATATGCTTTATATATATATATGTATATATATATATATATATATATATAATTCACAGAATTTCTAATTTTTTTAAAGATGTTATCACTAGATAAAAAGTGTTGGTAATAATTTCATCTAATTATTTCTCATATCAGATGACGTTATAGAATTGTTATTTTACGTAACATTACACGGAAATTGTCTTATCGCGAATAGTATTATACTGTTTGTCAAAAGAAATTGCAACATTTTGTATATATATACGATATACACTATTTAGAATCAAAAGATCACAAATACCAGAGAAGTAAATCGTATGTTTTATTCAAATTTGAACAAAGAATAAACATAATTTCAACTTTTTATATATGTATATGTATGTATATATAGGCAACGAGAATAAGCATCTCCGCATCTCTTTTAAAATTGCCTGGAATTACAGTCAAGTCCAGATAATATAGTATAATTAATTCGATTTTTATCACACTATGACATATATTTATAACAATTATATATCAATAATTAGTTTTACGCACTTATAATTAGACATATATACTTATTAACATTGGAAAAATTGAAGTCTTTTTAAAGAAGTAAAAAAAAAAATAAAGTATGTAAACTCATAATAACCACTGCTTTTTATAATACTTAAAATGAGAAAAAATAACATTAAGTTTTATGACAATAATAATAATAATAATGATGTACTATTCTATACATTAGCAATTATAAAAATTTATATTTGGTTTTCTTTTCAAACGTCGGAAATTATTCATGTCTTATGAAACTACACGAAAGGTTTCAAACATATAAGCGTGCTATTTTTATGTAGATATTTTAATCTCTGAAAATTTGTAAAAGCTATCTTCGTAGAAATTAAAGTCTTGCCAATATTACGCCCCTTCATATACTTCATTGTTTGTTCGCCTACAGTGCGCTCTCAGAACAATGACTGTGGAGAGGCAAAGTAGGACGGCGGTAAGTAAAAACTGACTTTATGTGTATATTCCTTAGTAAATGTAACACAAGTCAAAATATCATAATTAACATCAATTAATCTCGTGAAGTGCCAATAATAGTTAAAATGTACATGAAGATGTTGATAACATCCAAATACAGACTCAATGCGGCAAAGATATACTCCTCCGGTGAAATAGAATATTTATGTTTTCCACCAATCATCATTTGCGTATCATAAATCAGATATATAGAGAATATTAGCGCGCCAAGCGAAGCATAAACCAAAGTAATAATTTTTCCATGCCAGATCATTGCAACTATACCAAAAATAAATAAAATTAGCACAGCGACAAACAAAACAGTGTGTAATCCGGTAAAATCGATTTTTGTCTGAAATGCGAATATCGTCAATCCTAGACACACTGCTGCTGTAATTCCAACTGCCAGCATGACCTGCAAAGCAACATTTCTCAATGTAGATATGTCACGTTTATTACAACTTAATAACATAGTTTTTTTTGCATATTTATATAGTATTTGAAATTATAAAATCTTTTCAGGTAACACTTACTTCATGAGACTCGTATGTAGATGCAACTACAGACAGCAAAAAAGCTTCCGCAAATGTAAATAGGAACAAGAATATGAAATTCATCGGAGCTTTACGCCTGACATTGGTACAGCAAGCTATACATACGATCAGAACAAGAGTCAAGGCAAGAGCAACCCAGAACAATTCTGAGTGACTTCTAACCCACAATTGTGTCGGTTTATGATAAAGCAATAAAGTAATCATCCCAAGTGTGATAAGCAACTGACACATCAAGATGCTATACACTTTCCTATAAAAAAAAATATATACAATTACATATATGTTCATCATATACTTTACGAATATTAAATCTTAAAGATCTGACATTTACCTAATAAAGCCATTCCTGATAGTTTTATCACTGAATTCAAATCCTTTAACTTCATCCTGCATAGGATCTTCTGCATAACCAGACCCGTACATTCCTGGATGACCTGGAGGTATTCCTCCGAATTCTGGACCAACTGGCGGTGGCGCTTCACCGTATGGTGGAACACCTGGTGGAGGTATAAATCCTGGACCTATAAAATGTAATAATGGTCAATAAACAAATAAGGAGCGGACTTTCAAAATGCATTTTGTCCAAAATTTATATTTTTCAGAAAAGAGAGAGAGAGAGAGAGAGAGAGAGAGTGTGTGTGTGTGTGTGTGTGTGTGTGTGTGTGTGTGTGTGTGTGTGTGTGTGTGTGTGTGTGTGTGTGTGTGTGTGTGTGTGTGTGTGTGTGTGAGCCACAAGAAAACTATGCGTTTTACAAAAACAATATGCTAATCAGTAATATGGGAAATGTTGACAAGATTGTATCAATTGCTAGAAATGTTAAACAAATGTAATTTTGTTTGTCTTTAATTAAAATATATAATGCACTTTGAATGTTTAGATTTTTTCAGCATATAAATAAATTGGCGGTAAAAAGATGCTTTCTGAACATTCTAGAGTATTTTATAATATGAGTCTTTCACTGAGTTAACACTGAACACTATACTATCTCTAACACAAAAAATGAAATTTTGGACAAACTATTTTAAAAATCAATTCAAATATACATATAACTATGTCAATTTAAAGTGGTTTAAATAACATTCTTGAGTCGTATCTACCTGGTGGATTTCCACCGGAATAAGGTGGTGGATATCCTGGAGCTTGTTGAGGGTATGGATAGCCTTCTTGTGGTGGTGGATACCCTGGATTTTGAGGATACGGGTACGAACCTGGACCTGTACACAGTCAAAATTCAGAAATATATAAATATCGATGTAACAATACAATGTGCATGTAACCTCCATAAGCAGTAACAATTTGAGGAACTGTGTGCAGTAACAGCAGCCACTACTTTTATATATATTGTGCATGTTTTGTGTTGTTTTCTTTTGTGATTATGTGTGCTTCTTGTGTTGGCTTCTTGTAGATACTAATTATGCTTGGCACGATCTGCTGCAATGTTTTATATGAGTATATGTATTAATTATAGAATCATATTGATGATGACGAAGTACTTTAACATGTTGCAAGATTTATTAATATTCTTTATTTTCAAGTATTGTTGACTAAAAATAATCATTATATTAACGGTGTGCTTTCAAATATGGGATAATATATTATCTTTTCCAAGCAAATGATTATGCTAACTGCTGATTGAATAATCTTTGGTATGTACCCCGAATTAAAACAGTTAAAATATAATGAAATAAAAAATATATTAGAAAACAGAAGGAAAAAGATCAGAACCTTGTTGCCCTGGATAGAACCCTGCACCAGGTGCTTGCCAAGTTGTCATCTTTTGGTTTTGTTTTAGCTGAAAAAAAACCTATTATTATAACTAGGTCTCCTTTGAAGAAAAGAACAACATTAATAGAACTCCGAATAAATGTGTATTGGCAATCTTAAAATGTACATAAAATATGTATAAAATTATTGAAATAAATTTATCTTGTATTTGTCTCACGTCAACATTATATACTTTATATTAAACTATCATTTATTAAAACAGATATAAAAGCGAATTACAACAAAAATAATAAATATATTACAATTTCATTAAAACCTAAATCTTATATATTCATCTCTGATTTTAATTATAATTTGTATACCTAAAAATCTTGTATTTTCTAATTTATTAAATATATTCTCTGTTCTTTTATTATATAAAGGGCTTTTAGAATAAAAAATATAAAAGCAAAATGTTAGATAGCAGAATTAAAAAGAAATTAATATTCGAAACTTTTACTTAAAGAGTCATAGACAAACACCTAAAAAATGTATTTTATTAAATGTAGTATATATATATATATCATTTTTAAGTAATTAATTTTATCTCTTTTACCAAGAAAAGAGATAAAGAATGATGCCAGTTCGACTAACTGCTCATAATTATCAAAAATAGTGGCAATTAATGAAAATCGTTAATTAAACAAAAGTATTAGCCAATGCATTTTAAGCATGTTATACCTTGCACCGATTTGCAGTAATATATTAGTAAGTGAATGCGAAGACACATCACATAAATTATCCCAATTATATGCATAGTTAGTTAATATATATGAATATTAACACACTCGTATCAACTGTCATATCATATTGGTTGTCTGTTTATAAAAGTAACTTTCTAATATACTCTATACAAACATTTGATAAACTGTGACAGTACCTATCGCTTTGAATGTTGTATTTCGTAATAAGCAGCAGGCCTGTTCTTTTTAGTTGAACTTCTTGTATATAGTTCATGTTTTCTATTTTTTTTTCTCCAACGTGAAAAGAAAAAAAGAAAAAATAAAGTTCATGCGAGTTCAGCTAAAAAGAACAAACTTAATGTAAGATTAATTTTAATCTTGATCAGTTTAACTGTTTGTTTTTCTAATTTTTAAAATTAGAAAAAGATAAAGAATACAAGTAAATAGATTATACTGAGATTATAGCGAATTCAGTTACTTGCATTACAGTAAATTAGTACATATTAAAAGTTGTTATACATTAAGAAATTGATTAGAGTGAAATACAAAAGCATATGAATATTTTAAATAATGGAGGTCTAGTTCCATAACTCACAATTAGCTCTTAACCGAGATTCAACATCTGATTCCTCATCGTGTTTTCCAATACTTGAATTAGAAAGAGATAAGAAATAATTATAAATAACGATAAAGAATCAGTTAATTGTGGTCTTGAATTAATCATGAGTTGTGGAACTGGTCCTAAACGCTAAAAGATAACATTGTTACATTTATTTAAGAGTATACATGTAATATTTCATTGTCAAAGTTGTTTACATTATGCCACTGAATTTAAGTGAGACTTAAATATATATCTGTCTTTATTAAGAAACAGACAGATATGTGTTCAAGTCTCGTTTAAAGTCAAAACAACTTTGATGCATTGGACTTTAAATATTTTATATAAAGCAACTTTTAATGTGTACTGATCTAATATATTATGTGAGTAACCGAATTTATCATTATACATACATTGATGGAACCGAGCCCTAACAACTTCATGTTTACGACATACAAGCAAAGTTTTCACACAGTTACTCACGAAAAAACGCAATGTTAACTGCAAAGGAAAATAAAATGTGTAAATTACCGAACATACGCAAGGTGTAACTTCTTCTCTTTCTTCAATACAATTAAGATTAAGTGCCGTTACGCGATAACACGCGATATCTTGTCATATAATCATATTTATCTTTACATAGCTTTAATGTACTGTCAGTTTGCTTGAAAAAAATTACGCTTACGTACGCGCGCGTGCACAAACGGAAATGTAATATACATTTGTGGAAAATGAGCGTACGAACATATGTATACATTACTCTTGTCACGGTGCGATAAGCATTCACATCGCTAACATCTAATGAAATAGACACGATTATTGAATATTAAAAAAAAAAGTGACTATCGAAGAATCTGAAGATTTAAACGTTTCGAATCGACGACACGGCGCTAGGCCGGATCGATTTTTCGCGATGGATGGCAAGGTCGCGCATATTATCAAGATGTACGGTATAATTTACGTGATTATAATGCCCGGTTATGGGTCGACGTTTCCTTCTAGACCGCACACGCAACGTGAAATAAAAGATATATGGCTCGCGCGATTCACCGAGCACGAAACCGGAAGAAACACGAGTCGCGTGAGGTAGGTAGGTAAATACGTCAATTCGATGCGTCATCCGTCGTCCTTTCTGGAAATAGTCGCAATCGATAATCGGCCGTCTCCCGAATATTGCAATGCGGATGTGTATTTACCTCGTATCACGCACGGATCCCTTTACTCGTCGTGCCCTAGTTAGCAGTTGTGGCGTACACGTAGCACGACGAATCGCTGTTTATTCGGCCGACAATCGAACGACTGCGAACGACGCAGCCGCATGTAACGCACTTCACGCGCCGTGACGAATGGTGACGAACACCACGTTAACCAACCCAGATTACGCGTTTGATTCCGACTGATTCCGACTGAAGTGCACCGCTAATGGTCAAAATGTCAAATCCATGCGACGTGAAGTGAGCCAACGTTCGGCCGTGGGGAGTGCCGAGCAGAGCGCTTGCGCGTGCATCTCCGCCCACGTTACATTGCATCTCGTTACATTCTTCCACGAAAGTCTCCCGGCTGAATTCGTATCGCTTCGGTCAGTTCTTTTTAAGGAATTAAAGTCGATAGCACACGAAGTTTGTTTTCTTGCTGGACTGCTAACTGGAATAGATTCTTGCTACCGATATATCTATTGGCTATACGGTGCGCTGACAGTGCCAGCAGTAAGAACAGAGAATAACAAATCAAAGCTCCGGGATATAATATAAATTCGATACATATACTATAACTTACCACTACACTTACATGTAACAAAAAACGTGGAACAGGACAATAAGAAAATATCAAAATGAGAAAACAATAATATCAGAAATAATTAAAGAGACAATTTTCGTATTGTTTGATTAAAAAAAATCAAGTTTGGAGAAATGTAAAACAAAAATTGTATAAGTATGAGCAATTTTTTTCGGAGTTGGTGAGACTGCCACATATAAAATTCAACTATAAACACAACTGTATACAGTCCCTTTAATGTAACTTAAAAAACTTGTTACACGTTAAAATCATCTCAATAATTACTGAATAAAAGAGAATAAAAAAGGATTACGTAGATGTGATATTATTAAAAACGTTCAACTCTCTCTACAAGTACATTATTTCATTTTTCTTTACTAACTTACTGTTTTATATTGATATTATAGTTCAAATATGTATAATAAAAGGCTGTAAAAAAATAGACAAAATAATATTAATATACTATAAAATAAATAAATATAGAGATGTGAGATCTATTATTCTTTTTAGCTAAATTTTTTATACGGTTAATGTCTTTATTGTAAAGCTTTCTTTTTTTCACTTTGAAGAGAAAAGAAGAAAAAATAAAAGGAGGGCTGTGTGTAATTAACGAGTTCAGTAAATATAGAAAATAATCAATATATTATATGATAATTAAATTTTGTATAAATATTTATAACTAATATTTGAAACTATACATATATATTTTTGGATAGAATTTGTGACTATAATTCTATGAATATTAATTATTGTCTACTCCCCAATTAATCATTAATAAATCTTTAAAATATCTATTACTCTTTTATTTTTCTTTACTTAACATAAGTAATAATTAATTTAATTATATACACACAAAATAATATTATATATATATATAAATCGTCAAAGTTATCAGGAGAATATCTTCCGACAAGAGATAACGCGAAAGTTGAAATACATCATGAAGTTCATCGTGAATGTTACCACTATTTGTAGTAGCATAACAAAATGTCACTAGTTTCTGTCAGATGGCTTTGACCAATGAGAATATTGGTATTCTTTTTCCAGAAAGTTTGCATCTTCCACGTGTGATGGTTAAGGTTATGTTTTTTATAAGCATATCAAAAATAATAAATAGATAAATAATTATAAAATAAATTATATGTGAAATTAGTTTAATTATACAGGAAGAAATATTTAATTATGGCTTCATATCGTATACATAACATAAGATTTTACAATTTCGAGCCGAAGTCTGTGACCTGCTTGTGTCATGAATCAAAAACGAAAAAGTTAGCCCTTGCAAGGTAATAGTAAATTCATTTACTTTTAAATTGTGTACTATAGGAGCTGTTACTCATGACATTGGCAAAGTTAAATGTAAAAGCATATAAATATTTTAAACAATTAAATACTCAATATATAATGATATCATCACATTAATTATAAAAAACACAGAATATACTATTTATATATTCTTTATTTTATTGCCAAAATTTATTATGTTATTTCATTACATTTAGATATTTTATACATAGTAGCTTTTTTAATGTGCACTAAATCTAATGGTAATACAAACAACCAAACTTATATTAGATACACTTGTAACTATATATTTAATATCAGTAAACTCATAATTTTTATATGTATGAACTTATTATGACTATCTTTTAATACTTATTTTTTTTTTTTGAAGGAGCAACAACTCTATAGAAATCTGGAATGTGGAAAATGCACCATTTATTGAATGTACTATAGCTGGTCATACCGATAACTCAGTGGAAAGTATACTCTGGATTGATTCCAGACTGTTTTCCACAGGTCTTCAGGGTACAGTAATCGAGTATGATTTAAAAACACTGAGTGTTAAGCATGAAGTTATAGTGATAGGAGGAGCAGCCTGGTGCATGGATGTAAATCAAGAGAAGACTCGCTTAGCCGTTGGTACAGAAGATGGATATATCAATACTTTTTCTATACATAAAGATAAACTAATTTATGAAAGAATATTTGATAAACAGAATGGGAGGATTTTATGTATCAAATGGGATAACACGGGTGAGATGATTTATACAGGTTCCATTGATACGATTAGGGTATGGAGTGCTATATCTGGACACGCAATACACAAAATGATAACTTCTAAAAATAATATAAAGGAAGAGACTATAATTTGGTGTCTTGCAGTCACTGATGATAATATAATAATATCAGGCGACTCTCTTGGTTTTTTATCCTTCTGGGATCCCCAGATAGGAGTCCTAATAGAGTCTCATGAAAGTCATACAGCTGATATATTAGCTATCACCTTGTCACATGATATGAATGTGGTATATTGCGCGGGTGTAGACCCAGTTGTGCGAAGCTTTTGCAAAATTATCATGAAATCAAGTGGAAAGCCTCAATGGGTGAAAGGAATTGAGAGGAGATTACATGTTCACGATGTTAGAGCACTTGTAGAGGCTAATGGAAAACTTTATTCGGCTGGGGTAGATGGATACCTTGCTGTGTCAAGTTATCCACCAAAAAATCTTGTAAAATATCCTCCACTACTGCAATCACCCTGTGCTATAATTTGCCGAAAATCTAGATGTATCTTGTTACGTTACAGAAATTATCTAGAATTATGGAGACTTGGCTCAATCACTAAAGATCCTCCAGAATTAGTACGTTCTTCCATGCTGCATCAATTGGATGAAGAACCGATAAAGCTACTGCAATTACAAACAAAGGGCGACGAAAGCATCATTTGTTGCGCCATTAACAAGGATTCGAAAACTATCGTGTACTCGACAGACACTCATGTCAGAGTGTTCAATTTTGACGTGGTAGAAGGAGACGCTCTGTTGTCTAGAAACGATACCGATTTATCTATGAAGCGAATACAAAAGATGCTTTTTAGTCCAAATGGCAAGTTGTTTGCCGCTATTAACAATGACGGTAATGAGAATGCCGTGACACTGTTTAAAGTGAATAAGAAGAGCTTAAGTCTGATTGGATCGTTCCAGACGACGAAGGAATCCATTGAAAATATCAATCTCGTGTGTTTCTCTCCAGACAACAGGTATTTTGTATGCGCAGATCGGCAACGCGGAATTGCCGTGTATTTTATTGGTAATGGTATAACGGCAGAATCGCTCGAGGCATGGCGATTACCCAAGTATAGTTGTCCAGCGACAGCAATAGCCGTGCAAAAAAATACGTTAAATCTGGTCATAGTGTATTCTGACCATAAGGTAAATATAGCGCACTATACCATATATACAATACAATGATTTAAAATGAGTAATACGTGAATCATGCATTATCTCGACATTAAAATAATAACTGACTCGAATGTGCACTATCATAAAGTACTGTGCAACGTTTAATGACCTGCGGTAGTAAAAATTCGCAATTTACTGTTAACTACTATGGTCTTATTTTTACGCGATGACGTTACATATAATTGCTCTATAATCCCGTTATTGAATTATCCGTTCACACAGACTTTATGAAGTCCTACAGTTTATTACTGTTTTTGATATAAGCAATATTAAACTTTAATACGTACAATGAGGTATGTTAAAAGTATCGTACAATTTGAATTGAAAGGCTTTAAAACAGCAATTTTTACATTAATATCTTGGAACAGGCATAATCGAGATATTCTCCTCAATATTTTAAGATGTCTATTAAGATGGTCTGATTATTAATAATTAATGCAAATAATAATTCTTTTTCAGATTGTCGAATACAATATTCCTACGAAGAGTTACACAGAATTTTCTAATCATTTGCAAAGTCGGCTATCGAAGCAGTGGTTGGCGCGTCCATTTCCAATAACGAACATTATGTTCGACCCACGCAACGAGAACATTATAATCATGCAGGACGATTCGAGCGTGTATATTATTAATAAAAGTAGCGATTTATCAGAAAAAGAGGCAAAAATTTTTAAGCGTGAAAATGGAGAAAGCGCAGAAGATAGCAATTCAATTTCCAGCTTGCAATCTCAACACACGTTTCAAGTTGCTAAGAAATATAAGGTAATATTTTTCTTATTTAAAGATATTTATTTTAAACAATTAATAACGAGAAAAAAAGGAAAAAATTCTGATTTTAATATTTGCAGCACCTTGTTTACTTAAATTGGCTAAATGATGAAGAGTTGGTAGCGGTTGAGGTAAATCCTGCTTCATTGTTGGAGAAATTACCACCCACGTTAAAACAGAAATTCTTTGGCATATAAATATTGTATATTGCGACTATTAATAATAACAGTCGAATAAATTTTATGTCCTATTTTTATATTTTTTTATGATTACAGTTTGCCATTTCAAACGCACTATTTTGATATTTTAACATTATTTTCAATACATCCAACAGTTATGATCAATTTCTTAAAACAATTTAAAATAAAAATTTCACTACGTAAAGAAATAATTGTCTAAGGACGCTTGATAATGTAAATAACAAATTAAAAGTATATGCGATTATGAGAGTTCAGTGCGGTAAGTTAAAAACCCAATTCTTGAATTAATAAATTATCTACTATATAATTAAACAATTGATATGTATTAATTATGTACTGATCTATTGTTAATTAAAAAATTATATTTTTAATTTGCGCATCAATTACTGCGTTACATTTTTATGGCTACTTAAGACCAGTGTTTATAGTTGGTTTTTATATTTAAGACCATTTTATATAAGTACAGGCTTAAGATGTCATAAACCAATATAAGGTGTAATATAAGAGTTATTATTAGTTTGTATTTTTGCTTGTTAAAGTTGTTAATTTATTATTTTATCTGTCACTTAATAATCATTAAAATTCGCGCGAATCTAGTTTCTATACAAAACAATCGCTTATTGGTTCACATCTTTTTGATACTTCGAGAATCACGCCACTGTCCTTCGATTGTTTTTCGAATTTTGGCCAGTTACGGCAGTTACAAAACGCGTCACGCCGACTGTAGAGTCGCATTCGAATTCCGCTCCGTATTTCCTGCAATTATTATAGCCTAAAAATGACTCGTGTGCGAATATATTGATGTAAATGTGCTTTTTGAAGATATATTTCTTGTAGCAAACGCGTCAAGTGTATATTGTCTAAGTTATAATTTTTATAATTTCAACGGTAGCAATCCATTTCCATCAACATGGGATTTCTCGGTTACTCTCTTCCTACATTTCATCGATATAAGAACGGAGTTATTGTCAAGTAAGTAAATGTTTATTCTACATTTAAGCTGCGCTAATCACATTTCTCATAATAATTCGTTACTTCATTAATTTCTAACAATTTTTGATATATTTCAAATTTTATTTCTACGTGAAGTAACGGCCATTTTGTCGCTGCTTCCATTCGTTACTTCGGGAATCGCGAGATGGCTCTCCGGTAGTTCTCGAACCGCGATCAGTCATGAAACGCGCGATCGCTGAATTGTATATTTGAATCTACCGCGTAGTTTTCGCAATATTTGTTACATGAAGGTGAATCTTGCGCGTAAAAATTATCGCGAATGCTTCCCGTGAAGTCGGATCTATCGTAATGCCTCGAGTGTTCTGCAAAGTAACTGTTACATGTTTACAGCTGTTATATTTGTAAGTTGAACTAGTATATAATTTTAGAACTTAAAGTGAAATAGATACATTGATTTTTGGCGAACGCGAGGAAAAATGCAGAAATAAGAAACAAATCCATGATTTTGACGTTTAACAATCTGTTCTGCAAGGAAAAAATGTTGATTCTCGCATCTCAAATGTATATCAAAATAATAATGGTTGCATGACTCTCCAAGTACGTGCACATTAATCTTTTTAATAATAATTTAGTCCTTTAACTATTTCCAGTGTTTGCTAAAAATGTTTTGAATTGTATTTCTCCGCGAAGTATAACCACGGCCATTTTGTCGCTGCTTCGACATTCGTTACTTCGAGAATCGTGAGATGGCTCTTCGATAGTTCTCGAACCGCGATTCAGTCATGAAACGCGCCGCGGCGATCGCTGAATCGCATTCGAATCAGCTCTATATTTCCCGCGATGTTTATTATCTGAAAGTGAATCTTGCGTGCAAATAATTATCGTAAAATGCTTTCCATAAAATTGGATCTCCACGACGCATCGAGTGTGTGAAGTTGCTATTACGTGATTTCGATATTTCGCTCTACATGGAGTTTATCGGGCATGCTGTCTTCGCGTATTTTACTGACGTGCATTGGGTGCTTATAATTATTGCCAGGTGCGTGCACACTTTCGTTCTGTAGTTGACTGAGCCAATTATATTTCTCATAATAATAATTTGCTATTTCGGCCATTTTTTAAAATGTTTGCTAAAATATTTAAATTTCACTTCTCTGTGAAGTTTAATTGCGGCCATTTTGTCGATGCTTCGATCTTTCGATACTTCGAGAATCGCAACATCATTCGAATGCCGGTCTGTCGTGGAATGCGACGCGACGATATATCGCTGAGTTGCGTCCAGATCATATTTCGCAATCGCTAGTGTCTAAAAATACATTTTGTATGCGAAAAACTATATTAAATTTATAGAAAGTATCGGTTTAAAGTTCGTCCTAACTTAAATATCGCATTTAGTTGATATACAACAATCTATATGTCGCAGTTGATTAAAATTTTCAAACGTTATAATATAATTAATATTTTTTTCAAATTGCGAGTCGTACACTATAAAAAGGTTTCGTATTTGTATTACGTGTATAAACATATATTTCATATAAGGTAAATTATAAATATAATTATTACTAGTAATGTTACATAGCAGTAGTAACTGTAAAAATAGAGTTCCTATTTTCTTAATCATTATTACTTTACTATGCAGTTATAGTCAACTATAATTGTACAGTAAAATAATTGTGGTAAATAAAATTATGGTAAATATCAAACATTTTTCTTTTAATACAAATATATTGTCTATTTATCTGTTAATGTATTAAGTAATACAAGTAATTAATTAGGGTGCTTATTAAGTAACTTTTGTTATAAAAAGAGTTTGTTGTTGACAGTTTAATATTTTCAGAGCACACACACAATGGCTTTTTTATTATATTTCCAGAATTACGCCTGACGTTGTCGACAATTTTTGCTTGTCATATATAAGGTAAATGTACCAGTTAGTCAGTTAGTGGATATGAATTATATATTTGTTAGACGTGCGCGAAGTGATAAAACATTTCAAATATAAAACTTTTAATATGATTCTAAATTAATTTGTAATTACATTTTTATGAACGACAAATTTCTTTAGAGTCGCACATATATCATTAAAAGTTTAAAATTTTTGTACCATTTGTACTTTTTTTGTTCAACGAATTGGGCTATACCTACTAACTGGTACACGTTTATCTTAAATCCGTATATAGATCTATTTAGATTTAGCTCACACATACACATTATTGTATTATAATATTTATAATTTCAATGTTACGTAGTAGATATGTACAAATATCTGTAGAATATTATATTACATATTTCAGTGAAATGTTTTTATAAAACAGAAAAGGTTGACAGCGTCAGTATTTTTCAATTATTCTTGGAAATTTAATGATTACAACTTCACACAAGAGATTGACAGTTTTTAGTACTTGTAAAGATAATAATTAAGTTGACAATATAATTAATCTATTTTTAACTATTTTATGATCCCAGAAAAATTTCTTACAAAAACTATTTCTCACAAAAAGCTAACTTTATTAAAAACTAATATGAGAATAGGACTACGAGCCCTAGATTCATTAAAATCTTTAATTCTATTAATTCTATTAATTCTAATATATTGCGAAGAATATCACCTTACTGATGAGTCCAGTATTGGAAGCCGGGACGAAACGCCAACATTACGTGATATTCTTCGCAATATATTAGAATTAATAGAATTAATAGAATTAAAGATTTTAATGAATCTAAGGCTCGTAGCCCTATTCTCATATTAGTTTTAAATTCGTTGAGCCTTATTACAATAAATATCTAACTTTATTAATCAAATATTTGTTACAAAAAGATTAATGCATTATTTTTCTTTCATATTTTGTTCGCTCTTCTTAAAAAAAAGCAACATTATACATAAATCAAGTATACATAGTCCCGGTTTTTCATTATTATTATAGTTAACTTGTTAAGCTTAACCTGATATGTTTCACCTAATGGATTTTGTTTATAATATCATCATAGATGAAGCCCATTGGATAAAACATCATTAGGTTAACCAGACAATGAAAAATCGGGCTACAGAGTAACAAATAAATGCCATAATGTTTTGTGTTTATTCAATTATTAATAACGTATATCTATAGTTACAAAAAAATAAACTACAGTTTTCTACAATTACATATATTTTATTAAATACTAAAAATAATAATTAATATCATTATTTTTCGCGAAATGATGACCTTTAGTTTTAAGGCGCTTTGGAAATGCATCGATGATAGTCGTGTATCTTTCCCAGATAGCCATATAGAACGGTCTTCAATCTTTCATTAACCAATGAAAATCTTCTATTGCAGAGTCTTTAGTATTTAATAAGATGTAACTAACACTTCAGAATTGTTTTTTTTTTTTAGATATATGTCACTATCCAAACAAACTGATATTATTTATCTTTGTGATATCAAAATGATGACAAATAACATCAATTTGATATTTAGATAATGATTTGATAAACACACAAAACTTTACAACGAAATTTTTTTATTATTCTGTATGTATTAATAGACCATTTCTGGATGATCAAGGTTTCTTTCAACCTAGAAATATAAATTTTTGTTGCATCGTGCGTAATTCCGGGGCATCCGTGAGAGAGTCGATCGTCCACTTTGGCGAAACGTAGAGACGACCCATGAATTCCAAACTGTATTCCGTGTGGGATGAACGATGGCCGATCTGAGCGGATGTCGTTCTAGGGAAGGCTGGTGAAGCTTTCAAAGGAATCGGCGAACGTTCGGCTACGTCTTCCGGCGGATCACGCTCGAAAGTGTTCGCCGGAAGTCCCGCTTTTCTGCATTCCTCCGCCAGCACCTACGGTCAGTGACACGGCGGACACATTGAAATTCGTCTGCGGTTCGCATGTTCTTTTTCTTTTTTTTTTTCTGCTATACGCGACTCGCCAACCGACAGAGTTTTTAAGGTACCTGGCTGAAAAATTGCCCAGTCAGATGCTCGTACTTTTGCGGCCATGACCATCGCGACAAGCTTTCGAGGAAGTTCGTTTCCTTACTGAAAATATTAACGACATAATCATCTGCACTTTATGTATAAGAATGAGTCTATATACTGTCGTTATGAATATTACTGAATCATTACGTTTGTTTTATATTGCTGTATTAAACCGTATTGGAACTTTTCTTTGCATTTTCGCTAAATTTAAATCGTATAGTCTTAGCTAAAAATATTGTATTAGACACTTTATTAATCATTATTTAAAAAGCCTTAGCTCAAATGATTTATGGAATTTGCTGATATATAATATCAGTAATTAATAAGCGACGACATGCCGGTGAAAGAATAGTTCCAAACGAATAAAAATATGGGTGTTAAATACAATATTTTTGGTTAAGGCTGTATATCTATTTCATTTTTAATTACAAAAAGTACATACTACTTCAAAAACTATAAAAATAACTTTATTATTATATTTTCTTATGGTAAATATATTACCGAATATTATCAGCGGCTACTTCGTTTTTTAAGACATCACCACGTTTCGTTATAGAGATTACCCTCTCGGTCACTTTCTTGATTTCTTTATCTTGCTTTTCTTCAGCCATTCGGACGGATATGTTTTCACACAACGAACGAAGTCTTCAATACTGAATCCGACCAAAGCATACATCACGCGGTTTGTTCGATACCTCGGATTGTTACTATAGTTATCGCGCGCGGTAATATTAAAACTCTCGGCCTGCATTTTCTAAGATAACCATAGAACTTTTTTATCGCTTTAGTTTAGTAATTATATTGTGAATGAAATTTCCGCGAAGAAAATATAAAGTGTTACACGTGTAAAGTACCTTTTTTATGGGCAATTTCCAATTTTCGAGTTATATTCAATATTGGCGCAATTTTTTATAGACCTCGTAAATTTTCCAATTTTGCCATATCCGATATATATATATATATATAATCGGACTACTCCGGAAGAATATCGAAATCGGAATGATGAAATAGATGGAAATTCCACTTTGGTGGAAGATCTCGTAAATCCGTTATTCGATATTTGTCACGGTCGCGATAATTCCGTGGTTACAAAGCCAGACGGGGATGAGCACCAGAGACTCTTCTTCGATTGTCGAAGTGGCCGGGAAATAATCAAGCGAGCGACGATAGCGTCTATCTAAGCCTGAGTACGTCTGCATCGAGGTCGTCTCAAGTCGATGTTGGAGTGTATGAGAACGTACGACCGAAGGATATACTGTGTAGAGCGTACATCAAGGTGGAGAGATGGAAAGAGCGAAGGAGAGAGACGCGTTTATTAACCGAGGAGAGAGAAAGAGAGAGAGAGAGAGAATGGAGACGCTGCAGAGTGCAATGTACCCAGATTACGACTAATCTACGCCCGAGACCGCTATTCGTAGCGCCTGTAACTTACATCGCTTAAAACATCAGCCTGTTCAACCCCTGACTTCGGCGCCATAGTCTGCGCCTTCATCGCCATCGCCATTCTCTCCCTCTCAACCCCTTTCAGGCTTTCGATGTCGATCTATCCGTCTAGCCATCCGTCTTACTTCATCATCGTGTAGCCTGCATATCTCCGTCTAATTTATATCCCTGGGAAAATCGCTCCGTCCTCGTATTCCTTCTTCCGAAATTCGAAAGTTCGTCGTCGTACCCGCTTGTTATATCCTATAGCGCAGTTATCTAAGCAATTTGTTGCCATAACCGCAAAGCGATGATTTTTTATATATGGAATTACGATCAATTCAGATAAGACAGCTGTGTGAAAAGTTTACGGACAAAAAATATTTGTTAAAATAATTACGAAATTTCACTGATCCAGTAAAAATCTACAGCCGTAATATACGACAATCATTTTTCTACATATATTAAATTAGCAAAGGTGAATCACGTTAACGATTATAGATAATAAATAATTTTTTTGTAATAGCACAATGAATTTGTTAATGCAGCAAAGATAACTATTTCTACGAAAATTAGTTTAACATTTGCAAATTAAAATTTTTAATAAATTATATTAATGGGGCATATACTTTTGCTAATACTATAATGAAGAAAACTTGTTACATTAGCCGTTTTTATTACACAACAAAGAATTAGCTGAATTATCAATATATCGATAATTGCTTACGGATATAATTTCTTTATTAAATCATATAATCTTTTTATAATAGTTATAGATATTGAACTCGCGCAGCAGAGCGATTACAGCTTTGCTGAATCACCCAATCTACATATTTTTTCCGTGTTGTAAAGATATCGATAAATAAATTCTAATTTTAGTTTTTCAGGCATCTTTAAATATCATTTGTCTTGTTATGATTTTATATAGTTATACTTGTATAAACTATGCATAAGCCTGTACAAGTAAAATGATATATGTATGAGAAAGCCCAGATGACACATCGTGTTTATTTTTCTCAATTTATTATTTGTTTGGTCAAATACGCAAAAATCATAGTGCGAGATGTGTCAAAATACCGATAAACCTATGTTGATTTATCTGTTCGGATAAAATCTTGGAAAAATAACGCAATATGTAACCTACGAATAATTTATGATTTTTCAACTGTTAAAATAAATTAGAATACAAACGATACAGACGATTTTAAATTAAAGCTTACTGCGCCGCTTATTTAATGGGAATCGATTGGAAATTTTGCTCTGCTTTTCCAGCCGCAGACGCATATTTCGTACTTCGGACGGGGTTTGTTTTTATCTAGTGCCAGGATTAACAGAGCTATCCACTATAGAATAGTCATATAAAAGTGTGGGAGGGATGACCGAATGGGAGATCGCATGCATGCATTCTACCGACCTTGATGCAAATATATCTGCGCATCAGTATTAATGAATGCGATAACGTCTGCAGCTCGCATTGTTCCATGAAATTACAAACATTCAACTCTCGGCAACAATGTTCCGTTTCTAATGAACGGTAACAAATGCGTGGCTGTGAATTTTCGACGTAAATAATTATACGTAAACTTACGCAGTAACAATTCACATACGCGTCATGTAGCGTCAAATGCAATTATCTTGTCTCTATCGCGTTTTTCATACGAAATTATAAGAAAGATCTCGCGATTTAGATGTAAGATTTATGATAACGTCGGTGAACTTTCGATCCCAGTCACTCGAGCTGGTATCGGATGGCAGAAAAATGAAGGAACGTCAAGGCGGGAACGGCGAAGAAGAGGGACCGGAGGGGACAACGCGGAAAAACTCGAGCAGAGGAAGTGCAAGCGCGATCTTAGTCGTCGTCAGGAGTGCGAAAGAGGTAGAGAGAAGGAAAAAGCGATAAAGAGAAAGATGGAGAAAGGAAGGGGGAGGGGGAGAGAGAGAGAGAGAGAGAGAGAGAGAGAGAGAGAGAGAGAGAGAGAGTTCGTGGGTGTAGAGACACGGCGGGGTGTGCTGTAAATTACAAGCGGAGCGCCAAACCGCTATGGTCTTCTCTCGGTGGCGCAGGGGTGTCTAGACGTATAGATAATGCCGGGTTGGCTTGTGCGGCGGGGTAGACGCAAGCTAGACGGTCCCCGGTTGATCCAGTCAGCCGAACCAGCCAGCCAGCTACTACCCGAACCAGCCAGCCAGCCAGCCAACCAGCCAGCCAGCCAGTCAGCCGGGTTGCGCTAGACACATCGACCATGTTCCGTTTCTCTTCGTTTCTCTCGTTTACACTATCTAGCTATCTATCTGCGTCTCTTTCTCGCGTCCGCTACGATCTACACGGTGGTCCCAAATTAAATAGCTTTTAATTTAGCGAGAGAATTCTGTAACAAATCGACGCAGTCGATTTCTCTCCGATAAAAATTCAATTGATAAGTTTCACTATTAAATCTCTATATTCTGTTCTTTCTTGATCGCAGATAGTATTTTTATGATTTCAATTAAAAAGAAGATCATTGAAATGACAATATTTGCAAAAAAAAAAAAACAATTTAATCGTATCACTTTCTACATAAAATTTTATTTTATTAGCTTTGTATTTTTTTATAATGATAATTATTTCACATAGTTTTAAATAAAATTGCAACGTTTCCCATGTTTGAATAATTTTATCTTGTCGAGGATTAAATTTTGTTTTGTAATAAAACTTTATTTTTTATTTTATAAAATTAATAAAAATTATGAAAGAGAGAAAGACTCGGCTATGAAGTAAAAAATGCACTTATAAAAATTGATATGGTTTAATTTTGAAGCACCCTGTATGCGCACTGACTGCGTCCTCGTCTTTCTCGCCTATATATGCAACGCAACCGGATTTCCCATCGTTCTCGTCGCGCCAGCCAACTCACGAATGAGAGGGCCTCCTCACCTCTCTCATGCATTCGGCGCGTCCAGGAGATGCAAATCCCCAATAGCATCACCTGATATCCAAGATCCCATTGGCAGCGATCGTGACGTGGATGATGCACGAGACCGTCGCCCGACCGCCAACCGCTCCTCTCACCTCGTCTCTCTCTCTCTCTCTCTCTCTCTCTCTCTCTCTCTCTCTCTCTTCATTTCTCTCGACACTCCCACCAGCAGTCACTCGTGTATGCACCGCGAGAACATAGAATTATTCCGTTTCTCCGCGTGCCAGGAATCTCTCTCTCTCTCTCTCTCTCTCTTCTTCGTCGCGTCCTAGAAGACACTCGATCCTTGAACGCAATTGCTACACTCCCGCGTTGACTGCGCTGACTGACATTAATTGCAATCTCGGAAAAATAGACTTATACGTCGCTCACAACTCGCGCGTTGCAAAACGTTTAAATTGCCATATTAGGAGGACCAGAAAGTTTACTGCAGCTAATGTGTGTGATATTTAGTGCTTCTTTACTTACTTAATTTAGGTTTTTCGATGTTAAAAGAAGTAATCTGATTTTTTTATTTATATAAATATTAAGGAAATTGCCAATGTGAGCCGATACAAGATGTCCTTTGTGAACTTAATAAGTCATATGTTATAATTTGAGTAATATCGAAAAGTATTGTGATTTAAGTCGATTTTCCGATAAAAGTAAAAAAGTTGTTATTACACGGAGAAAAATGTTTGGTTGGATTAATTAGAATTTTAGTTGAAAATGGACGAATCAGAATTTTCTGATTCCTTCATTTTTAATCAGAATATTTTTCTCAGTATATTTCATAGAACAAAAACGTGAAGTTAATACCTCATATTTTCAGATTTCAGTTTTTAATTCGGTAGAACGCCTTTTAATTTTAAAATGTTTAAAGTATTATTACATATTCATTGGCAAAGAGTCGGAACTTTGTCAATTATATCGAAGTTCTAAAAGCAACATAATTGCTTCATAGAGGTAATATTGTGGCAAAAAATTATTATTTTTTAATTCTATATATAAAACATCCGTTCTTAATCTGAAATGAAGTGGCTGTCGATTGTATATACAAAACCAACAGTATCATGGCAATAGCATTCCAGTACATCGTTGCGATTTGATACCAATGTCTATGTCACGTCCACGCGCGCGATTACGTTTTTCGTGCGTTTTCTTTTTCGAAAAAAGCCAAACGTTTACGACGTGCGCGTATATATACATATAGATGCTTCGATCGCGATGTAACTGGGTATGTAATTGTGATGTAA